ATTTTTAAAAATTGGATATACGCAATATATATCTGTTCATATATTTTAACAAACCTTGAAGGGTTTACGATCCAAATAAATTATAAGTGTAATGTGTCTGCATGTTACACATAATTTGTTTTTTAGATAAGTAATGTCTTATAATTCACATGTTTTTCTTAAATCATGCACTATGTATACCAGGGTTTAAGTTGACCTGCTAATAAGGTGAAATGTCGATTACTGGAAAAACAAAATATGAATATTAAAATTAAAATAATTAATAAGTCTATGAAATTTTTTCAAAGTAAAATACCTCACACTGTTCTCTTTGGATAGGATACATTTGCCCTTAAAGATGCATTAACAAATGCTGCGAGGCAATTGGTCAAATGATACTAGACAGGTGGCAAGATAATGATTCAAATGTTAGTGTAAAATCTTTTAAAAAGTGTAGAATTTCTTCATTCTTCAGATGGCAGTTTTTCTAAATGTAAATCTAAAATTATGTTTCTAAAAAAAAATTATTAATATGCAAACGAAATATGAAGAGAGAAAATGCCAAAATTAACTGTATTTTATTAATAATAGTTTTCGAAAGGGTTAATTTGATAAGATCAGATAAAAGATACTGATACGGAGATCATGATCATATCTCATTGTGATAATGGAATGTGATAATATTTCCTGATCAATGAAATTTTGACTTCATTACTGATGCATAAGTCAACCCCCTGGTCGTCTTAAAATTTTGGGAATTTGAAAAGTCGATTTATAGACTGGAGTGCACATAACTTTATTTTTTTCATATAATGAGTTCATTCATATTAAATATTGCTTGTGGAAATCAGAATACAGAAATATATTTTACAACACATAATTTTGTAAAGAAGTTATATTTACAAAACAATAAGTTAATAATTTTAAAGAACAATTAGGTTTAATGATTGCAAAGAAAATTGATTGGAAACTATAAGATCTGAAGAAAAGAAAAAAACCTACTTGGAGGGTATAGCGATCGTTTTTCTCAAGTGGGCCTTATTTGAAAAATAAACCTGCTGAGTATTTCTGAGCAGAGCCTACCGTGGTTCATCATAATTCTGCTAGAATGCAGGTCCTTAGAACCCCAAGATTTTAGATTACTAGATCAAGATTATTAGGATTGTCTATCTCTTTATCAATAATTTAATATATATTCCTTTTCTTATTAATATATACCTATTGAATTTAACATTCTTATTACTAATAGAGAAAACAAAGAATTTAAAAACAAGAAGAGTTTTATTTGAAAAATTACTGATTTTTAGATTATTTGACATGTTATAGTGAGTAGGCACAACCACTGATTTTAACAGCACTAAATTACCTATACACAGGTAAAAAATATCTTCAAAATGGATTTTAATTTTATTTTTCATACATTCTGATATCCTTTTATGAATGAAAAAATAATCAGGACAACTGCCTTGATTTTTTAAAGGGGTTTAAGCAGCGAAAATATTTATTTGAAAGCATGTTTAAATATGTACTTCTTTTTTCTCTTTTGTAATTCTTTAAATGTTTATAAATATGTGCATCCACTTTTCAGGGGCATCTTTTTAAGGAGTTTGCCCCACACACCTTTGATGCCTCTGATAGGAAGCTTTTGGGTGTAAGAAAACTACTTTAACTTGAATGATGGGAGATGCTTTGGCTCAACTGATATTCTAAACAAAAGGTACAGTTGATGGAAACAGGTACATTCTAAAATAAAAATCTTAGAACAAAATAATGATATTTTGGCTTAAAATATTTTCAAGACTGATATTAATATTGAAAATGTTAGAAGCTACTCTAATTTGAATAATAATAACTGGTTAGACTCACAAACAATATTCCTGAAACAATTTTCTTCATCTATTTATTTGATCTAATATTCTTTCCGATAGGTGTCACTTTAGCTTTTACAGTAGCTTTTTCTTTAAAATAAAATGTTATGCGAACCATACATTGGGAAATAGAGAATCTGAACCGATGCAATAATGTTCCAGAATTTTTTGAAATAATGAAAGGTATTTCTGGATAAATTTTCAAGTTAAATGAAATCTGTAACGTATAAAATTAATTTTTTTCCTAATTTTAAAATAAAATTTATCATTAAAAAAATCTTAACACAACATTGAAACTATAGGATAGTATTGTACAAAAAGTTGGCAGTTGAATGCATATACTCAATATAAATACAAAAGTCGAACTGATTTGGAACACAGCATTTTAGTATAGAAAAAGAAACTTAAATGCATTAAATCAAAAATTCAGAAATTTGAAGCCAAAAAGAGGATAGATTTAATAACAAAAACCCAATTATTCTAAAATTACGTAAGACTGCCAAGAAAAAATTTCCCACACATCTTCAAAAAACTAATACAAAGTTTTGTCAATTTTTTTCAACTTTTACTATTTTTTACTTGAGTTTCTCAACTTTTTACCACTGACCTGAGAAAAACTTGAATTTGATTTAAAAATCCAACCCTGTATAGTTTCTCAGAAAATGATATTCACTTTTAATCTACAACTCACAAAAAAAAGACTGAATGGGATACCACTGACAATTAAGCTTAAACCAGATGCGATTCAAAATCAATGATCCCTTATCATTGATTTTGAATCGCATCTTGTACAAAAAATGTTACAACTAGTTCTCTTTTAACTTTCATTTACATTTTAATTGCAAAGAAGTAATATTATAAGAATTAAATTGGGGTATATATAAGCTGTTATTGAACATATTACATTGTTACAACGATTTAGATTGGTAATTACCAACTGGCGGACTGTGGGCCGTGAAGCCTTATTCTGCGGCCCGCAAACTATAATGTATAAGTTGTCATTTTTTGAGGAAAATTTTCGTAAAAAATCTATTTTGGTTTAAAATACTTTTTTATTTGTTTCTGTGAAATGTAATATACCAAAGGTACAAAAAAAAAATTTCTCAAGTTTTGCATCCAAGAAAATATTTATTCAAGAAAATAATAATTATTATTTGTAATTCAATACTTTTGTTTTGAACAACTTGGTAATAATCTGACAGTAATATTTAATGTTCCTTCAAACATAAAAGAGTCCTATAAATAATTGTGTATGTTGTTCTTTTTTTTAATTCTGTTTTTAATAGTATTTTGTGAATATAATTTAGCATGTGTGTATCAGAAATTTTCTAAGAAATACTCCGATTTAACTTTTTGAAACCACTCATTTTGGACGAAATTATTTACATTTTTAAATTTTGTAGCCAGAATTTTTTAATATGCAATTAAATATTTTTAAAAATCTATTGCTTATTTTAATTTGTAATTCAAAACTTTTGTTTTGTACAACTTAATAAAAATCTGACAGTAATATAATGTTCCTTCAAACTTAAAAGAGTCCTACACAGAATTTTGATAAAGCTGTGGCCCACCATTTGACTGCTGCTTTTAATTGCGGCCCCAGGCCTCATGTAAGTTGGAAACCCCTGATATAGATCAACACTTCTAGTGATTCTACGTGATTAGACTGATAAGACTCAAAATATATTTCTCAGAAAGATTTCCGTATTGATACCTGCGTCAAATTAATTCCCAAGTTTTAGGAACCACCATGTAGAGGGGAGATTTCCGTATCGTGATCTGTGGCAGATCAATAACCAAGTCTCGGCAACTGCCGGGCAGAGGCCCGCGAGAAAATAAAAAAATATCACAGAAAGAGGCCAACTCGAAAGGTATAATTCGCAGCCACCGTCTGGCAAACATCGACTTGTTTTTTTAAATTTGCAAGCTCAAAATCTATTTGGCACTTAGGCAATTGTATTTGGCATAACAGATCACATCACAGAAATATCCCCCATGTAGAAATGACCTCAAACAGAAAAGAAAGAAAAAAAATTGCATAACTGAATCGTTTAACTTGTAGTCAACCAGAAAAAGTCATGGAAGACTTCGTTACCATGATCTCCAGCTTGGCACTAGTATGCGAGGAACTAAAAAAAATATCACAGAAGGAGACCAACTCGAAGGGTATAACTCGCACCCTCTCCTCTATATGTTTTTTAAAAAAATTTCTTTAAAATCCATTTTGAGTTGGCACTACAGATCACGATATGGGAATATCCTCGAAATCCGTTACACATTTTCTTTTAAGTTAAATTCCAATCAATTTCAATTGGCACCCAGAAATTTTAGTTGGAGCAAAAAAGTACCATAAGGGAATATTCCCAAATTTAGCTTTGGTTGAATGATAAAAAATAGCATACTAAAAAAAATATTTAAATTTTTTTTTTACTTGCTCACCAAAAAATTATTATACACTTAGGATACTTGAGGGAATATTTTTAAATCTAATAATCTATTCTATTCTAATTATATAATATTCGAATTTATTTTTTTATTTTTGTAGCATCCTCGCATTACAACATGTATATGCGCCAGGAGTGTTTTTGGATATTATCCTTAACACTTGAAATATAGATAAACATTTCAAACGTCAGAATATCACTTGAAACACTCCATACAAATCTGCAATTTTCAGCTTATAAATGGACTGAATTCAATAGGCTTTGTTTATATTAGATTATACACAAATACAAATGGTTCTTCAGTCAAGCTCTTATAGCTTCAGTTTTGAAAATATTAAAAAAAAAAAAAAAAAACACTATACTGCAAGTACAGAGAAGTATTCTGCAAACCTAATGTGCCTACTTCTAAAGATATTATTTATAAGCAATATGTATATTATCAAAAATAGATGTTGATCTACAATATATTGAGTAAAATAATCATAATCCTTCCCTGTAAAAGCAGTAATTTCAAATTTTGACGTCTTTAGACAAATAGAGAAACATTATTTTTAAAATGCAATGAAAATAAATAAGTCGAATTGTCATAATTAAAATTATTTAATTTCCTATTTTAACTTACTTGTTTAAATTAATTATAATTCTAAGATTTAAAAAAATATATATATAATTCTAAGATTTTTAAAAAAAAGCAGTAATAATGACTTACGGTCACCGCGGGCGCTGTCTAGGAAGAGCAGCTGCTGTTGCTCCTTGGCCCAGTCAATCAGCTGGCCACCAGTCACAGAGATGTCCGGCTTATTCATGGGGCCGCTTAACGTTTCCACACTAAACAATAATATATTCTCTCAACAACACCTACTTAAAGCGTAATGCGACATTATGTCCCTCGCACAACACATCACCTCACATCGTAACTTTTAAGAAGCTAACATCTAATACAGTAAAATGAACAAGAATCGGTAGCAAAAATGGAGTCTCCAGACGATGGTTTAGTATTGCGGAAGTTTTGTTCACTTTTTTGTTATTATTTCAGTACGGGCAAGAGCACCAGAACCGATCGATATCCCGAAACTTCAAAACACAGACACGCCGGAGGCCATGCCTAACCACAACGTCAGGACCTTCGCATGATTTTACACTTTTAAGATAAATAATTCGGTTGTAAATGTGTTAATGTATATATAAAAGAAAGCGCATAGTCACCTTACAGAAAGAGATGCGAGTTGTTCGCACAACCCAACAATAACACTGTGTTTCCTACGATACACAACTGACCAAGAATTTCATCTTCCCAAGTACACAGACACTCATAACAAGCAAGAAAGCGATTTCTTGGAATGTAAATGCACTGAACACAAACACATTTTGAGTAATCCTTTGGTCTGCAATCAATCCGTGGATAAAATAATTCATCTAAACTGTTGTTTAGATTAGTTATAGAAGGCTCAATCCATCGAAACGAAGAATCCCCAGACAATATCAGAGCCACAAAACAACGCCAGCTGACTGTGACCGGGCGAGCCCAGTTCTTGTCAACATGGATGCCAGCAATATCTTCTGCTGGCGCGAACAAGGAATCGAGGGAAGCACTTCAAAAACGAATCTGATTGAAAGATGGATGCTCGGACACAAAATCCTTGAAGATCATCAAGTTGAAGGAAGACTTGAAAGATATCCTGAGGATATTAATCGGAATAATAACAGATGAGATGTAGAGCTAATATCGATTCAGCAGTTTCGCTCCCGATTCAAAAGCGGGACGCCGGGCTGGGAGGAAGGGGCGGGGTTGAGTCATGTGTGATGAGGCATCGCCCTTGCTGTGACGCACGCCGTGATTGGCTGTTGGCTCTGCGGCATCAGAACAAAGGTAATCTCACCACTAATGCCAACTAGTGGACAGATCTACAAATTTGTTCCTCTGTCCGTCACCTCTTTCTTTTCTCCAAAGTAAATATTATTCCCCTTTCAACTTTAGAAAAAGATTTTCATTCATTAAAAGAAGAATAAGTAGATACTCAATACTTGTATTAATGTAGAAAAAATTGGTTATTTTTTGAAAATTTCCAATATTTATAAATATATAAATTTTTTCCTGATAATTATTCATGTTTATATATCTTTTCGCTACTTTTTATTAAATTCTATTTAGTTATAATTATTTAAATTTATATATATATACATTTTATTAGCTAATATAATATTATATTAGTTCTGTTAAAATAATATTTAACCAAATAAATGAAATGTATTAATTTATTGTTATCATTAATTTTTGTTAGTTTCATATTTTATAATTATCTAATGTATTTTTAAAATGTATATGCAATGCTTTTTATTTAAGATACAATACAATCCTAGCTAATAAATTAATAAACTATTACTCAAAAAATATTTGAATAAGTTTTGTATAATTATGTGTTTAATTAATACCTTAATTAAATTTACTCATATTTTTATACATTTCTTTATCCCCCTTTCATAGCTAAGGCACAGCCTTTACAGCCCCCCCCCCCAATATAAAATATTATAGGACCTCTTTGTATATTTATTTGTCACTATTTCAATATGTAGCTCATATAAGTAAAATCCAGGCAGAGGTCTAGCAGTCCCTTCATTTGTAACCTCTATAAACACATTTTTTTAGGTGTGTAAATTTTATATTTTGAAATTATTTCTAACTCTTACTATGCTAAAGTTAGAAAACATAATTAAATTCATGAAAATGTATTTAAAACAAACTTAATTTTTGCTTATTTAGTCAATTATTAATTCATTAAAAAATAATATAAATAACTTTTCTTGGAGATAACGTCTGACATTAGAAGTGTAATAAATACAAAGATTTGTAATATAAATTAAAATTTCTTTTAAGAAAAGTACTTATTTTAGATATGTTATAGCAATTATATATATAGAATGTAAATATAGTTCAAAGCAAAAATAGTGTAAAGTTTTTAATCTTTTTTAAAAAAAAATTTCCCTAAAAAACTTTTCAACTATTTTCAGAATATTTATTGAGAATTATTTTGAAAAATGGATTTCTATTACAAAGTAAAAAAGGTGCCACTGTTTGTTCCTCTACTATTTATTTTCATCAGATAATTCCTATAACTGGTTTTTAAGCAAAGACTTTATATAATCGAATCATTCTAACCTGCTGAATTATTATTTTTGAAATAATGTAATCAAATTGCTCCCAATTAAATTTCAAAAGAAGCTCTAATAGAAAAGCTTAAAGAAATTTCAAAAAATAATAAGGTTTTTAACTGTTGAAATTTCATGTTTAACAAGACATAATTTAACAAACTGAATAAAAAATTATCCTTCTTAACTATAAAGAATAATTAAAGAGAATCTTCAAAGAAATTGATAATATTTTTCCTTTTTGAACTCACCACAAACCTCATAAATGAACCTGAGCCTTGTTCACGCAATGCCACATTTTAGAAAACTTAAGCTTCTTAACAATTTTTTTTTAAAAAAACTCTTGATATTTAGCAAAATTTTATGTTTAACGTTAATTTTTGAATGGGCGGAGTCGAAATTCACGATTAGTTGTTGCTGTACTTAAAAGTTTTTCCTGCTGTTAATAGTTATCAATATTTTTCTTTAATTATTAATATCCATTAGAGAAATGATAATCATAAATCTGGTTTGGCTTTTTAAGGTAAAAACTCAAGAAAATCATAAAAAATAATTTTAAATACTCAATGACATTTAAGGGCAGAGAAATGAAAAAATAAACCATAAAAATTAAGGGACCTATGTGAAATTTTGTTCTAGCATATCATAAATTCACATTTAACTAAATATAATAACTTATAAGAGTTATTATATAAATTTGTAAATTAAAGTACATGCTTAAATTTTCAAGAAAAAAAAGGCGTGTACACCTGCTGTACTAAAAATGCATTGAAACAGAACATGGCTTATTCTCAGTTTGGTATTTATTTTCCCATGGTCTAATAATAAGATAAATAAAATAAGCATTTTGTTAGTTAAATTATTAAAAGTATTGTTAGATACTTTTTTCACCTAAAAACTATTATCTTTTAAAACTTCTTAATGAAAATTTTTCAATATGTCAACAAAATATGTGAATTAAACAAAAAATGGCTAATTAAAAGTTGCAAATCTTTTAGTAAAGACACTATAATACCTAATTAAGAAATATTAAAAAAAATTCAAAACTGTTACTTACCATAACCTAGTTATGACTGCAACTCGGGATCTTAGAATATTTTTTTTATTTGAACTGTGACTTTTCATGTTCTGATTCTTATATTTTTGTCATTTCAGCTTTCAAGAACATGATAAAAGTGTTTAAAGAATTCCAAGCAGCCTAAATTTATTTAATTTTTAAAAATACTATTGCTTATTGATTCTTATATTTTGCCATTTCAGTTTTTAAAGAATTTAGAGAGCCCAAGAAAAAGAAGAGTGTCCCATAATTTATTTAGTATTTAAAATGGATATTGCTTATTGATTCTTATATTTTTGTCATTTCAGCTTTCAAGAAAGTTGATAAAGAATTTAGGGAGCCCTAGAAAGGAGAAATGTTCCATAATTCATTTATTTTTTAAAAATTACTATTGCATTCTCTTAAAAAATAAAAATACTTTTAAGTTTTTTTAAATTTCTTTGTGATATAATTTTACTTTTAATAAAAGCAAAGTAATAAAAAAATAGTCATTGTAAAAATACTGGAAACTCACTCTATTCACTCAGTTCATTTATTCTATGAGCACTTTTCTTCTGGATAAGTTTGTATGGAACTTTTCTTTCTATAAGTTTCTTAGAACAACATTGAGAAAGTTCCACCTAGTGCAATTTTGAAACTTACAAATAGTCCCAAGATAAATTGCATTGAAAAAATATATGTTTGACAATGGACGTTTTAAAGTTGAAAAAAAAGGGGGGTATGAATCAGTCTCTAACCACAGCTAGTTGAATGTGCTCCCAAGTTTTAAAATCACTACTGTTTGTATAAATTTGAAGAAAATTGATTGGCATAAGCACTGAATGAAAATGAATGTTTTGATCTCTATTTTCTCTTTTAGTGCAGTTTTTTCATTTTATGATGTAACAAGGTTTATTTCTAACAGATCTTTTAGACAAAATGTAAATATTTGCCTCACACTAGTTCAACACCCAAAAAAAAAAAGCTGCTTTCCACACCGTAAACTGTAAGGGGGTAAGATTTTGTTCTTGGCACTGTACTGCTTGTTACTTAAAACACATTTACAGAAACATTTATAGAAAAAATTATTTTGTAGGTAAAAAGTTGATGAATCAGCATATTTTTTTTCTAAATAGAAGAAAAATTCTAATACAAAACACTTCGATTTCAGTGAGGCTTCATCATAGTTTAATTTAAATCTGAACATTTTAAAATATGAGACTTATTTGCCTTCCTTAAGTATTTGATCAACAGTGAGCTGACAAGTGGTAATGTTGCACCCTATGCTATAGTTTCAGTTCTATAATCAAGAATCTTCTGTGTCGAAACATAGAATTAGAAAATAAGAAAGTGCAAAAGAAAAATTACAAACAAGCAAGAAAACTGGTAACAAGAAATAAGTTAAACCATTTTTTTCCTTTCTGCAACTTGTTTGTAATTTTACTTTTGTACCTCATTTTCCTTCGTACTCTTTGTTTCGGCACTAGGAAAGTTCTTTATTATATAATCTAAACGATAGAATGTTTTTTTTGTCGTTTTATTTTATAGCATTGGTTTTGGTACTTTCTGGCGAATTGAAAAATTTAGCATGTTGCAACCACCGATTGTAAAATTCGTGGAAATGGAGGAAAAATGAGGCATACATGTTTAAAGGCAGAAACAATTAATCTCTTTTAATTAAGACTTTGTCTCAAAAGGAACGCTACACACAGGGCTGTTTGTATTCCGGAAAAAAAAGAAAAGGCTGGTAGTAAAACTATTTCACATCTAGTTTGTTTTAGGAAAGAACTAAACAACCCTACTACCAAGACTTCTTAACATTTATAACTTATAAAATTATTTCTTGTTGTAAACAATAATTATTGATAACTATTGATTGATATTTTATTCCTTCCAAAAACTAGCTAGAAAAGAAACTGTTTCACTACTTTTTTTTGTCATAGCTTTTCTAAGTTATATTGCTTACTAATGAACAGTTTGTTTTTAAATGTTAATAAAAAAGGATATCAATTTAGTTGAATATAGTTTTGATTAGTGACTCAAATATAAAAATAACAAATAATAACAATGTTCATTGACTTTAAAAATACAGAAATTTTTGTTGAAAATCATTTAGACAAATCTACAAGTTCATATTTCTTGGTGCTCCCTCCAGACTTTATAATTAAGTCCAAAAGCTCTGCTACAGTGGTCTTGCGTTTAATAAAGAGTTGTCTGGAATCACCTTTTCCTTGACTGTTATTAAAAAGATTGTACTTCTGGGCAATCCTATGAAATAAAAATTTAAGACATCAATATCAACAATAATATGTTAAAATATGATTTTAGGATGACAATTGGTAATTTAAAATTAGAGTATTTTGCTACATCTGAGATATGCTTTTGTACATTCTAAATGTCTTCAAATAGCATGAACTACTAATGTTTAATAGACATTTATTTTTCAAAGAATTTTTTCCTACATTCATACTTAGGTAAGAGATAACGAAAAATCTTATGTGTGATAAAAAATTATATAACTGTAGATAAAAGTGGAGAAACATTGAAATATCTTAACAACTGGGCTCTCACCGCATTTTCAAGTGTGAGAGCGTTCTATTTTATCTTGTCATTTGTAGCGAATTTTTTAGTAAAAATTGGTTCAATCCCTCTATAAAAACTCAACTGGGCGGCCAGACTGAGATGCATCTTTGAGGTCATTTCTAATTTTAGGATAACAATCACGAGTGGGTCTATTGTAACCTTTACTAATAGCATGAATATTCTACTTGTTGCTGTGCATAAGCTTGTTTGTTTTTTTTAAATTTAAGATTAAAAAATAGTTTACCCATCTATTTAAATTTTAAAAAATGGAATTAATCTCTAAGCTTTGCAAGTTACACCAATTTCTTGACAAATTTGTTATAGCAATTCTTTCAAACAATATATACAGGGTGTCCAAAAAAGATGGAAACAGTCATAAGAAATGCACATCAGATAAAAATTGGAAAGCACAAGCATGTAATATTTTTAAAAGATGCATTTATCCTCAACCCATGGCAGTGGGCTAAAGAATATTTTAAATTGAAACCCTTACTTGTTAAAGATTTGGATTCTGCTGAAAAAAGTACTAAAAATATCTATAATGTTATCTATATTGTAAAAAAGAGAAAAAATGAAGACCCAATAATGTTTTAGTTCATCAATATTAAACACTATTTAGAAAAAAGAAGTGAATAAGAGATGGCAAGTTTTTAAAACAGTAGAAAAGAAGAAGTGGAAAGAAATAAATTTCTTTCTTTACTATTTTTCAACCTCAGCGACAACAACTATTTTTCAAAATTATATAATAATAAAAAACTAACATTTTATAATTATATTTAAAAAAAACGATTAAAATAACATGCATGCTTTATTAATAATGATAAATTAACAAAACACATACATTATTAAAAACAGGTTGAATTCTCAATTACAAAAAGCGTACTAATTTTTTAATCTAATACCTAGGTATGAATACTCAAGCCAAATTTTTAATATGATTTGTAGATTTTTAAAATTCTGAATAATAAGTTGTTTTTTTTAAAAAATAAATAAGTATGAAAAATTTTAATTTTCTGATACATTAAGTTTTATTTGTTTAAATTTTTGCCGGCCAGGTGGACGAGCAGTTAGCGTGCCTGACTGTGAATCCAATGGCTGCGGGTTCGAATCCCGCTCTGGGCATGGATGTTTCTCTCTATGTGTTGTCTTCTGTGGTGTGTGAATGTGGCCCACCCTATGAACGGGTATTTGTGTTACTGTGGCGTGGGTTCACTGGTGCCCACTGGGTAATGTTAAATGAGCAACACTTCCGGCATCTTCCGAGATGAAAAATGAAAGTTCAGAACCTGCCGTTAGAGAGAAGAAAAAATTTTTTAAATTTAAGCTATTCTTATGATGTATTTATATTATTATTTTTTTTTTTCGTTCCTTCCATTTCAACCAGTTTGTTCCTTTTGGTCCTGTTCTTACAGACGAAATGCAACCCTGAAGTTAACCTGCTTGTTTTTCACACAAAAATCGTATCTAGTGTTATTAAACAGAAAAAAACTAGATGGCTAGCAATTCTTTATACTAAATATGGAACATCCAAAGAAAGTTTGACTCAGTGATGCAATTTTCAAAAACTAAGATGTACTAAACCTAATAATTTAAGGGTTAAATCTTAAGTTTACGGGCTATCCATATGTGACACACTTTTTTTTTAATATTAAAACCCTCCACCCCTTTGTAATAAAGTGTCACACTGAATAGCACCTTTACCTTTTTGTCACATGCCACACTATATTACATAAACATATATACATACTACCAATTCCAAAAAAAACATGTTAAAAATCGTTTTAAAATTTTTATTCTTTAACTGCCACCCTTTGTTTCTGTGTTATTTGCAGGCCTTGTAGTAGTTCAAAATAAAAATCAGGACATTTCTCTTATGCAATACAAATTAGATTATTTGTAAGAAGGGAAAATCAAGGACAAAAAAAAAAACTGTTAATTAAAATTTTGTTTTGAGTGGCATACATACATTTTAATTCTCTACAACATAAAAGAAAAAATTGGAAACAGTAGACATTTTCAAATAAAAAATCAAGATAAGAAGAAATTGTTCGAAACAACACACTGTACATTTGATGTATAAGAATAAAAAAATACTACTCAAAAATGTAAATCTGAATAATCCAATTACTAAAACTTGTTCATTCGAAAACAACATCATGCAAAATATAAATTTCTAGAATAATTTATTAATTTTTCCAGGGAATGACAACAGAAACTTTTCTTGATATGTAAGGTGAAAATTTTACAGAATTAAAGCTATGTAATTGTTAATGACAAAATTTAAATAAAGTCAACCATTTAACGACATGAAATTTTGTGCAGTACAATGAAATATTACATTACTTTCATCGTTTGAATAATGCAAGCAATTAATTTAACTGACTTGGAGTAGAGAATAACATTTATGGAAGAATGATAATGCTTGGTGAAAGAACATACAAAAATATATACTTGTAATATGATACAGAAATTCTTCATAAATCAATATCAGTAGTTAAATTACCTATGAATCTCTTTTCTTTCATTCTTTGTGAAATCCATAGAGAATATAAGAGGATAAACTTCACCAGACTTGCTATACTCTTGTAACAAAGATTCTATTTCAGATTTTAAATTTCTCATGTCCATATTGCCACTGAGATCAGCATACCCTAGCCCTGTTCCAAAATTTTGAGTGCCTGCGCTGAAATGAAATAATAATAATAAATAAAAAAAACAAAGAAATAGAATCTGCAAATATTTTTAAAAATTACACAAATTTTAAGACATTGCAACTCTGCCTTTCTTAATTGCTTTCAATTTACAGCAGGGATCAATTTATAGATCATAAGTCTCTGGTCACAAAGCTATCTACTATAGCTCTCTATACATCATTTAAAAAAAATAGTCCTCTTACCAGTTCATAAACTCTCCTTAGACAGAAAAATTATTTTATATGATCATTAATAAACAATCAATGACTGTCATCAATATATGTTTTGTATAAAAGGAAAAGAAACCTTGACGCCCACAAACTACTAATAAAAATGCTTAGCTATCAGAACTGTAACTCTATAACAAGTGATCAAAGTTTTAAAAAAAAAAATTATCAGATTATTGACAATATTTGTCTTCTACAAGAGAATAAATATTTATATTGAACTGGATAGTTTTAGCCCCAAGCTGGTAGTGGCCCTCTTGTGGGTCTTGACCTAAGAGTTGGAAACCACTGCTCTATGTAAAGATTAGGAGACACAATATCTGATGAAAGTTCTACAGGTAGAAAACTATCTTTTAATCTTCATTTTTTTGTGGCAGAAAAACTTGTTTCTCTCATTTTAACCTATACATATATAAAAAACATAAAAGAAAGATATTACTTATGCTGAACTAAACCCCTTAATAAAATCAGTCAAATGCAAATATTAATACAATGCATATTTTCACATATATTTTAAATTTTATTTCAAGTAAAGATAAGATCAGGTTTGTCATCAAAGAGTTTAACTTTTGACATACTATCAAACACAGTGAAATTAAAATATATCATTATTTTGAAGCACAGGTGATTCAGTGGCTTACTATCATTTTACAAATCAAAAATCATTTTACAAATCAGGTTAAAAAAAGCGCTTACGCTAACAATAATTTGATTTTTACTCTCTGAAATTTTATTTTAATAAATTGCAAACATGTAGCACATGTTTTGCTATCTTACTAATGAATGAATATTAAAATATTTTCAACTCACAAATGATGTTACTTCTTAAATAGCAAATACAATAAATGAATTGGCAATTGCAAAAGGTCTAGAATGTGCTCAATTATCCACGAGTAGAGCATCCATACTTAGCTTTATATTTTAGCACATGAAAACAAATTTTCTTTTTTATATCTCTTATCATACTTTTGAAAACATTTTCAGGCAAAAACAAGTTTAGACCTGATAAGTAAGATAAAAATATGACTTAGGATAGTATGTTGTGTAATTTCTCCAGCAATGGACCAATCATTCACTTTTATATTCTTTTTAAAAAACTACTTTATACAGTTTAAGATTTCAGACAGGCAAAATGTACAGAGTCAGGAAAAAAGCTGAATATTTTTGATTTAGTAATCAGATTCTTATGGACTAGCACTCAATCTTAATGGTTTTGAAGAGATCCTTCAAACATGTTAATTTGTGCAGGCGATAATTTAAATTATGAAATGGGACAAAAAAAAACGTACCTTCGTTGAATAAACATGCTTTTTTTTTGGTGGGTTCTACCCTCAAAATATGTTCCCAGTAGGACCATATTCGTCACAGGAGAGCAATAAAAAATTTGGACCCCAAAATAATAATTTACTTTTTGTGTATTTCAACAGAAAAAACTTAATGAGCGATATGAAAATTTTTTGCCCCCAATAATGAAATTAAATTTATATAAAGATGATTCCACTAAAAAAAATGTTTAATAATTGTTATTATCTTTTTAAAAAGTAATAGTAGAAAAAATTTTGAATTGTAAAGTACACAAATTTTTACCTCATTCTCAAGAATGTAATTTCATATGGCAAAATACAAAATTTGAACGAAAAAAGTTCCATAGTTTCTGATTTATTAAATTTTAAATAAGTGACATATTTAAAATTGGATTTCTTGGGAATTAATTTGATTGATTTCCTTCAAATTTTATATTTTGTCATATAAAACTAAAATTTTCAAAATGGTGCAAAAATTTGTATACCTCACAATTTAAAGTTTTTTATTCTATATATATTAATAAAATAGTAATATATTAATAAAATAGTAAAAAATTATTATTAAAAATTTTTTTTGAAAAGAACTCATCTCTTTTTATAAACAAATTTCATAATCGTGGGCACAATAACTTTTCAATTGACTTAAAATGATTTCGAGATATGGAGAAACATGCAAAAAGTAAAATTAACATTGAGGGGTTCAAGCTTTTGACCAATCGAGGAGGGCTCTGTTTACCAGATTGCAGCTAACCTCAATATTTAGAGAGTCAGAAATCCTATTCCGTCGCAAAAAAATATATTTAATCAGATACGTTTCTTTCTTTTTTTGCTTACATAAAACATCGGCTGCACAAATGAATTAATATGTTAATGTTTGCAAAACATTAGGATTAAATCTTAGTATATGAAGATCCAATCATTAGATCAAAGGTGTTCAATCATAGTGTTCATTTATTCAATTTTTAACTCTGTACACCATCTGACATTTTAACTTATCAATCAAAAAGTCTTGAAGATCTATAGAGGAGCTACTAAAAATATTTCAAAGTTTGTCAGATAATGATTTTTAATGGATAAATGTCAAAGTTTAATGACATTTAAAATATTACTTATCTAGATATTGATATTTTAGTTGAAGATTTTTTCAAGAATGAAAAAAAATAATAAGACAATTTCATAAAGCAGCGTTTTTTGAAGAGCAATATAAAAGTTCAAGCTTAGCAATGCCTTGAAATTTGTAATCAGACATTTGCTATAAAAAAAGCAATTATTGTTTGGAGATTTAAGTTTAAATAGGGCTGTAACAAAACAAATAATGCTGAACTAGAAGAACATTCAAATGATGGAATTGTATTGAACACAATTTTCTTGGACAGCTGCATAGAAAAGTTGCAAAACATATCTGTCAACTTAAAGCTCGCTAAAGGCAGTGCATACAATATTTTGCGTTGATCATTACTCATAGTGGTGCAAAAACAACAGCATGTTGATGACTCAGAGTAGTGTTTGTAGCTGAATACTTTTACTGTTCATGCAGAATAAGAATCAAAAGAAAGAGTAGTTTTTATTTTATTTTATTTCATAACCATTGTTGAACAGCCGATCCAATTTTTGGGTTTACGACTTCTAATGTTCAACTTCGTAGCCTTATAATTTTGAACCCAATCCAGAAGACAAGGGAACTCCTGGATCAAGTATTGAGAGAAATTTTGCCTTCGTGGAGGACTTTTTGTTGGAGCAAACCCGCATTTGAGTTACATGGAGAGGAAGACCAGAACCTTCCACAGTTAGCCTAGCGGCATGGGGACTCTAACCCGTGATCCGTCTACCACTGAGGATATTTCATGTCAGCACTGTGATCGGTGCAAGCCGGATGTGGAATTCATATCGACCAGGAATTCATCGAACCCGGCTCACCTCGTTGAAAGACGAACACTCTGTTCCCGGAGCCATCGCAGCTTGTATGTGTACTGCTGAAGAAAAAATACTTCACTCTTAAAAGTTGTTGATGAATAATTAACAGAAAAAAAGTATTTGGTTGCAAGTATTAGACCTTTATGAAGGTATCAAAATGCTAAAGGGTGACTCATTCTTAATGCAAACTATATAAATGAATAATTTACCAAAAAAACATTTTTTTTTTGGTTACCAGATTTAGGTATTTTTGAATGACGTGTTATTTAGAATGTGTCATATTTACCGAATGGGTTCCGCAATTCCTTTCATTTTACCAATTCCACCACCAGACCAACCCATCATTTTCAGCATTCTACAACCAATATTATCATCAGATACAACTTCAGGGGCATCACTCTTTAACTTGAGCATATCTTCCCGATTGACGTGATATCCTTCTTCTGGGCCTCGTTTTACCTAAAATAATATATTTCGATTAATGCCAACAAAAAATATATATTATAGGGGCAAGAAAACTCTTGATAACAACATCACATTTTTGAAGATGTGCGATGAAAGTAATCACATATAAAAGCACAGGTCTTAAAGGTCCTCTTAATAAGCTGTTCAAGTTTATTGTATTTCTAATACAATAAATACAAGTTTTAAAACTTATTAAATATGTAGTTAGTGTTTATCAGCAATAAAGAAAGACTTGTTTTGCCTGGAGAAGCTTAAAATATTTTTTTTTCTTTAATGTATATTGATCAAATTTACTGTTCATTGAATATCTAACAAACAAATTGCCTCCCATCTTTAATTTTTTTGGATATTTAGCTTTAAAAAAAAAGCATTTTATTTATACAGAGATTAATTAGTAATTAAATTATAATTTTAAACAAGTTAGCCATATTAACTATTTTAGCAAATAATATTTATTATTAATACAATTATTAGCACAACTGGTAAATGTAAAAAATTTTTAAAAATCTGATTTTAATCAAATAAAAAGGGTTTTTTTTTCATAAAAAAAATCATAGTTTCTTTTTTTTTTTTTTTTTTTTTTTTTTTTTTTTTTTTTTTTTTTTTTTNTTTTTTTTTTTTTTTTTTTTTTTTGAATTTTGAATATAAAGCAATATATATGTGAACAGTAATACAATGAAAATATATTACTTTCACGGTATAGACTTGTTTTTGTAACTTTTCAAATGCAATTTTTGCAGCTTCCACTTTTGCAGCTTGTCTGCTTGGACCCACAGCAGTCCCAAAAATTTCCTTATCAAATAAAACATCAGCTCTGGAAAAAAAGAACACAAACACATTAGAAAGTTGATAAAAAATTTGCACCATAAGAACCTTACACCAAAATAACTTTAAAATGATAAGGAAACATAATAGAATAAAACAATGACATCCTTCATCGCAATTATTTAGCAACCATAATTCACAAAATTCTGATACGTATGCAATAAATATGCTTCAAAAGAAAAAATTATAGTTAAAATTTTATGGTGCTAATAAGTACCTACTGCTAAAAATTAATACATCATGTAACTAAATTTTGCATCCATTGAACATGCATTTTGTATCAATTTATATCCATAATATTCAGTTTAGTAAATCCTAAAAAATTGTTTAATTTATAATAAATTTAATTTATATATGGCAGCACTATTTAAACATTAATTAATTTCAAAATAATTATTTTTATGAGAATTTCTTTCTAAATATTTTATTAAAAAAAAAAATAAACTATGTATGCTTTGCTTTATACATAAAATTCAGAAAAAAATTTTTTTTTAAATTTAGTTAGATTAATTTGTATTAAAAAAATATTTATAGATTTGTATTTTACTTGAATCAATTCCCATTTCATTTACAAAATTATTCGTAAATATGTTAATTAAGCACAAAATTATTCTTAAATCTGCCTTTTAAGCAAATAAAAATAATATAATTCATTGCAATTAGATCTACTAAATATAATGAAAGGTTTACTTTACAATAATTTCTCTTCTATTAATGGAAATTAAATTAATATTAAAATGTGTTTGAGATAAAAAGAATGAGATTTTTGTATCTGATAGTCAGTAGCATTTACATCAGTTTGTAATTGATACCAGAAAAATTGGTACTATATTTAATGGAAAAGACATATAATGACTGTTTAAAGAAGTGAAACAAAACAAGTCAATTTTTAAATAGTATTTCACTTGTGAGATCACAGATGTAATAATACATTATTTGAATTAAATATAGTATTTAAGTATGCTGTTTTAAAAATTTCTAGAAAAAATCAAGTGTACTGAGTTAAGGTTTGGATTAATAAAGCAATAATTAAACAGTCAAAAGCAAATGAATTGCACAGAAATGGCTAGAAAAAAAATTGAAATGTGCAACTTCTGTAATTACATTAGATAAACTGCTTATGTAATTGTTATGAGCTGAACTATTTTTATTTTTGCACCACAATTTTCAAAACATGGAAAAATAGTTCTTAAAGAAACTATAAGTGTAAATACTAATGTAAATTGACACATATATTTTTTAAAATACGTACAGAATGATCTTGAAAGACCACCCATAATATGTATTTTTCAAAATCTTATGGAAAATGAAATCAAAAAGGTGTGTGCACTGAGGTATAGCAAAGGCAAACATAACAAACAGCAAAATAGGCTTAATCGGAGGCTGAATCCTGAGGGTGTTTCTAATAATCTTATAACAACTCATCTATGTTTCATTCTGCCATCAAAGCTGTCTTCTCATTTATTAGGCGTACTTTCCAGCTTGGAGATTTGTTAGATTCCTTTAGCGTTACTAGTGTTTCCTCCATTAAATATTATTTTACAAACCGTAATAAGTACAAATTTTTTTTCTTTTTTTGACGAAATTTCTGAAAATACATATTAAGGGAATATGTATGTATGGAGCACCCTGCAGATTATTAACTAAAAGAAATTGGTGAATTAATTTTTTTCATTATTCAAAACACTCAAAAAATCACTCGTTGAGCATTTTATTTAGGAAAAAAATATATATATTCTATGCATATACAGGACGAGTCTGGAAAAACCGGAAAAACTTTAATGAGTGATATAACGCATCGACACGAGCAATATTTATCACAGAATGTACGATTGAAATGCAAGCGGTCAGAAGTTAAATGGCAGTTTTCCACTATCACATTTAAAAAATTAACACAAGAAAACTTTTTGTTAGCAGGAAGAAAACTTCGATTCAAAGAAATTGTTCAAAGGAAAAAGATGTAACTTATGTAGAGTGTGCCCACCCTTCCCCCAAAAAAACGGACCACCCTAAATAACAAACTTTTTGATCCAATGATCGGATCTTCACGGTCTACAAGGGAATGACCTCAAATATGCTTATAAATTAGTGCAGACGATACTTTAAGTTATGAAATTAGATACAAAAAACTTACTTTCTCTGAATAAAGTTATCTTTTTTTTTCTACGGATTCGGATTTTTGACCACGAAACGCACCCTTTGCCTTTAAACTTACTTGGTTTCCCAAGCGAGCTTGCTGGCATTGGCAATAGCAACATCAATAATGGATACAGATATTTATATTTGAATCCGAAGACAAAGTACAGTATTTGTACTTTGTCTTCAGAGGTGGATAATCGAAGGAAATATTCACTTGTTATATACTTCACTTGGTATTTAAACATGAACAACTTATTCTGGCTAAGTGTTAAAAGGTTAAATAAAAAAGGCTTGATGGCTCTACCTACATGCTCTACTAAATAATTTTTTCAAAGATTTTACAGTGGTTTCCTCCACTTTTATAGTGCAGATTATAGCAATCTGCAATAATACTTTCTGTTTGTATTGTAGCACTCAGATCTACTGGCTAAATTATACTGTGATAGTATGTAAGTGGAAAAACTACTTCACAGATAAAATCAAAATTCAGTTTACATGTCCATAAGATGGCTTTGGAAGGAAAATGTTATAATTCTTTTACATGCTGTGTGCATGTTTTAGATATTCTTTGGAAGAAAACAAACAACTAATTTTTAAATCACAGTTATGGGAAACTTAGACTATCGAGACTCAAATTATTGAGATTCTAGTGCAAGGACACGTAGAAATTTTCTAAGAGCAATCTTGGAAATATTCCTTAAAATAATAAAAAAATCAAGTGCTTTTTTTTGGGGGGGGGGGGTATTACTGAACAATATTTTTACAAGTGTGCAAAATAAATGTTTAGAAACTATTTAAATTATTTTTTTTAAAGCTTTAAAACCAAAATGTAAAGTTATAGCAGCAATTAAACTAGATATAAAATTTTAATAAAATAAGTTTTTATATCTTTTAAATAAACATGACATAAAGGCCAAAAGAACAGTAAAACCTGCAATTTTTTCTATTAGTTTTTTTTTTTTAATCTTCTAATTAGTAAAAAATCATTTTAGTTACTTAAGAGTGTTAAATGAAAAATGCAACTCTTCTGCTCAGTTTATTAATAAAAGTTGATTCAACATGTGTATTTCTAAAGGAATGAACAGCGCTCTGTCCCCCCCCCCCCCTGCAGGCACCCATGCTCTAGTGTAGTGATTTTGCAGCAAAATTTTTGGGAAGGTGTCATCGCCATTAGTATAGTGACTTAAGTTTCAAAAGTCTTCTAGCTATTAGAGAAATCAAAACTAGATGATTCTTCATAAGTCGAAAGACGTAATGAAAATATATAATATTTAAGATAAGATTTGTGGAGCTGATTTTTTTTTTTTATTTTTTATTAATGTACCATTACTATTAATAGTGATCTCCACTACTCGTAGACTTCAAAAAGTCAAACAGTAACTAGATAATTCTTCAGAAGTCTAGTGACAATAAAGCAACAAGATAATTCTTCAAAAGTCAAGTGACAATTGAAGCAACTAGATAATTCTTCAAAAGTCAAGTGACAATTGGAACAACTAGATAATTCTTCATAAGTCAAGTGACAATTGAAGCAACTAGATGGTTCTGCATAAGTCAAGTGACAATTGAGGCATTTAAATAATTTTTCAAAAGTCAGGTGACAATTGAAGCAACTATTTAATTCTTCAAAAGTCAAGCGACTATTGAAGCAACAATTCAAGTGATTTTTGTTGCAAATAAATGGCACCTGAAGCAAAATAGATTTACCTGAAGGTTCCATCACCATTACTAACATAATTGTAAGAGTAAATTCTTCGACTCATTTGAGCTGAAAATGCAAGAGCTGCAGTAGGAAAAATCTCAGACAAACCAAGTTCTTCAGTCCTGTCAAAAAGCATTACCTGCTTTTTTAAGGAATTATTTAATAATTCTTTATTTAATAAAAATGGCTTTTTAATAGTGTCACTATGAGCACAAGCAACTTCATCATGACTTTTAAAATTACCAAGAGTGCTCACTTTTTTGTCTTTTGGCATTTCTCTTTGTAAAGTAGATAATTTTTTTAATTCTTGGCAATTAGTTTCTGATTCTTTTAACATTTCTTCACTTTTTTTAGAATCATTTGAGGCATTGTCATTGCTATCAGCCAAATTTAGAAGGTATTTAACCCCATTTTCGGCAGCCTCTTGTTTGGCTTTTTTCATTTTTGATGCTTCACCTTGGCCTATCAGTGTACCTTTGATGAACAAATCACAAAGGAATAGAGTGGCATGTTTAGAAAAATTGGGATCTTGCACAATATTAAAAGTAACATCATCAGACATTTTCAATTTTACAGCACAATTATGAATTATAGTCGCGGCTGTATAAGGCTTTAGACTTTCTTTCTTTATTTCTAAAGCAAATTTCTTTAATGCTTTCCTTCCTGATTTACCAAGAGAAGAGGCACTTGAATTCGACTCAGAAGAGCTACTTTTTTGAGATTGGCAGAGAGAAGTTTTTTGGGCAAGTGTTGTACCTTGTTCATTAACTTTTTCAGCTTGTACGTTATTGTCACTTTTTTTAGATGATTCTTTCAGGTGTGTTAATATATATAAAGCATTCTCAGAAGCTTTAGTTTTAGCAACATACCTGTTCTCCCCATGTCCGATAGCAATTTTGGTCATACCAATAAAAAATTCACAATAATACATGTTTGATGGGACGTTAGCATCTTCCGTTGTTTCATTTGTAAATTTTAAATCAATTAAACTTTCAACATTTGAATGAAGTGCAGCTGATAAAATTATATCATATGGATTTTCCTTTGAGTATTCCAGAATTTTTTTAACTTCTTCAGATAATTTTTTAAAAATGTTAAAATTTTCTGAGTTAGTTATTGATTCATAATCTATGCTACTGAAACTAGCTAAAAGTGGGTCATGATTTGATTGATTTGTTTCTTGCTTTTCCGAATTGTCGCTTCCAGTACAAAATTTTATAAACTTAAACTTTTGAGAAGAAGCAGGTTCATTACTTTTTCTTTTCCCTACAAAATAAAAGGAAGGTTACTAAAGAATCATTAGTAAGTGATTAATATTGCATAAATAATACAAAACAATATTATAAGAATCTCAACTTTTGTTCAAACTCTAGAGATATAGAAACTAAGAATTATCTTATAAAGTTGATAGTGAAAAATTGAAGTCTAAAATGAAATACTTTGATTTATTTGTAAACAAAAAAACTAATCTGAAAAATTGAAAAAATATATTGAAATTTAAAATCTCTGTACCATGTATATAATTAGTGGACAGTCCCTAAAATTGAACAATCAAATTTAATTTAGCAATTTTTAATAGCATTATTAGTTAAAATTAAAATGTAGGAGAAAAATTCAAATTCTTAAAATAGATTTATTTTAAAATCAGCATATGCATTCATAAGAAATAGAATGTTCTGAATACAAAAATGAAGAATATCAGGACAAAATATTTTTATCATGAAAATCAAGATTATCATGAACTTTGTAAAACAGAAAATATAACAATACTGTGGAATAATGAAGTGTAAAATAAAAGTTTAAATAAAATTGCATTTCATGAAAATAAAACAAATAATTCAAATATGAAAGACAGAAAAGTGAAGAAAAAAAAGTCATTTAAACTGAGAGAATTTACAGTAACGAACAAAAGTCTCAGGCCAGTATATTTTTTAAAACATTTTTCCAATTTTAAACAATTAGCAATTTTTTTCCATAGAAAATTATTTTACGGTAGTATGTTTCAAGCTAATATTATTTGGACCCAATTCTAATTGGTTACAGGGCGCATCAACCAAAAATTACTGCAATTGAATAAAAAATACTGATTTGTTTAAAAAAATTCCTTTTGCTGTAATTTTGAGGGAAAAAACTCACTCGCTTTTTCTAGTGAAAAAAATCATTCGCCAATACTTTCACCAAAACACAGTTTTATTTACCAGATTTACGATTTTATCGCTTAGCGCGGGTTCGGAATATATATTATAACCAATTTCAAATAATATCACATAATTTCTTATTTTTGTATGAATAAAGATTTATACATCTGTCTGTACATCTATTACACATAAGTTTACATACCTTCATCCTTATTGGTAATATTCTTGATTGACGTTTCAATTATAAACCACTAATGGATTACAATAGTATCTAGTGATACAGTCTCATAAAAAACCATGGGACTCACAAGTGAACAAATTCTGATTTTACTTTGTCCAGAGATATTTTTCTTTCTTTTTTTAAAAAAATTGATAGCAGGTAATGACAGTCTCTTGTGATAAGTTCTCCATAGAAGATATTACATAATATACACTCTATACTAATATAAGCATGTAAATAAAATGTTAATGCGTTATCAATATTATAACGGCATAGCTTCACAAGTAGCAAGCAAATGTGACTTAACGCTCTGTAAATGATTTTAGTCACAAAAACCAAAAGATTAACAAAAATCTCCAATAATAATATAACCAGAAGAAATGCATCTAGTACTTCTGTTTTGTCAGCTTGATTATTAGCTCATCATAAATGAACAGTCTAAGAATACAGAACATTGGAACAATCGGCACACAACATATATATTGAAAAAGCTATGCTACAAAGTACGTATCTGATCAGTTGTCACACATGTTAAGTAGGAAAATGTGATATGATCAACCAGTGGTCACAGACTTAATAAAATATTATGTGATCCACTGGAGGTCACACAATTCAATTTAAAAAAATAAGATTGGGTCCACTAGAGATCACAAATGTGCAGTAAGAAAATGAAATAAAAATCATCATGCAGATAAATCGCTCAAATCATGTCCAGTGGTACACACTAGTGGTCACACATGTCCACAAAGAAATTGCAGCATGACTCACTAGTGGTCACACTAGTATGAGTATAGAATGCCTATTTGTTCACAAGAACAAGCACAGTAATATAACACACGAGTGATCACACACTTTCCGTAGCGCTTCGCGCTGTCGTGCCACAGGTCCCTGGTTTGATCCTCGGGCCAGGCAAGGTTGACTCAGCCTTTCATCCCTTCAGTGGGTCGATAAATGAGTACCAAGCATGCTTGGGAACTAAACACTGGGGGTTCCGCGTTCGGCTGACCGGAACATCTGCTCCTGCACCCCAGAGTCCAAGGTCAAGAAAACTGAGATGGGCACAGTAGGCCTTGGCCCTCTATGGGCTGTCACGCCACTGAGTTTAGTTTTTTTGAGGTCACACACTTTTCACAAAATTATACAGTCTGATCTATCTACGTCCAAGCATGCCTAATAAGTAAATAAATTATGGCTCAGTGCTTAAAATATTTTGTTTCCAACCACAGATGGCGAAATTAACAAAGGGAAAAAAGTCGTTTTAGTTCATAAAAAGCTTTACCAAGATGAAGTAAAGCGGAAATTTGTAAGAACCAATTTTCAGATTAAATTCATGGAGTTCATTACTTAGTACAGGCTTGTGTTTAGTCATTATGCCGTTTATGATTAGTCAATACCCATGCCAATTGCAGCAAACTTTAAAAAAAAGCGTTTTTCAGTACAGAACAGTTCTTGAAATGATCTTAATATTGTCCCCATAGACAGGATTTATATTGATTTAGAAAATATATTACTTCTAAACTCAATAAGTCATTCATAGTATCTTTGATTCGTGATTGGTTAATTTATTAGTAAATTTTGATTATAATGTAATAACAGTTTGTTTGTTTTTTAATGATTAGGAAATTCAGTTTTACCAGTTTCATTTACTTCAAATATTGATTAATAGACTAATGCTTAAAACTCTTAAGAAACTCATTTAATTTTATTTTCAATTGTTGCCTTTTTAGTTTTTACACATTTACTAATCAAGCATTGAATAGCTTGAAAATTAATACTAATATTTAAACTAAGTAGCAAATATAACTGTTTAAAAAATTTTTTTAATATTTATATTTCTTTTCGAAAAATATTTTCTTTTGCTCAGATTGGATGAAACTTATTTTTTTCAGGGCAGTTTTTTCCATTGAGGAAAAAACTTGCCCTCCAAGTATTTAACTAATAAATAATTGAAAACAGTTTCAAAGCTATTACCAATGAAAATTTAAAAAATTAGGTTTTTGCATAATTCATTCTAAACACTGGCTGCTTACTTTAAAAAAAAAATTAAAAAAAAGCAAAGCAACAATGACTTTTTGCAAGCTCTTTAATTGCTAAATGAAGAAATATTACATGCATATTGTTATTAAGGTAGGAAGTTGCAATTTACCCAGTTTTTCATTGAGATATTATATATAGTTTCAAAATTTTCCCTTAAATGAATAGCTTTATGTTCTCAGTGTATAATTTATTGTTTTCATAGAATCGGTTGTGGAAGTTGGCATGCACGCTAGCATTTTCACTTCACGCAATTTCAATAAAAACATTTAAATCTCAAAAATATTTGAAAATAAAAGCTTTCTGAGAGTGAAATAATTTTATTTTCAAGAATAGGATTTTATTAAAATGAGAAAGGAAAATTCATGCAATGCATTGAGATACGCAATTAAGTATAACAACCAATAACAGTTTTCAATATTTTTTTTATATTTCTACTCATGATATTGAGATTGCTTTTTCATAAACGCAAAGTTTTTCCAAGAACATCTGAACTAAGCGGTTCACTGAAATATATGATTAAAATTTAATCCCATTTTTCTGTTCATTTTTTCTTCATAGTTTTTTTAAATTTTCTTTCTAATTCAGAAACAAATGCTACAAAGATTCAGACATTCAATTCCTATAATTGCGTTTGAAGAAGACATTGAATATCTTAAAATCATTTTTAATAAAGAAAAAGTAACACAACCAAGATTCTTATCCTAGGTTATCGATAGTATCAACTAAAGATTGAAAAAGAAATGTCACCAATCTTAATAAAAAAACATTTTTTAAAAGGCTACAATAAATTCATGAATCATGCTTTTGTTTGAAAATTTAATTCTCTACTAATGCGAAATGTCTCTTTGGTTAGTTTATTTGTGAGTTATAATACGAAGCATTGTAGGAAGTATTTCTTACTGCCAAAATATAGGGGCAGCCACAATCTTAAAATATGGACCCAATAGTTTGGTCAGGACAGGGGTTTAAAATTTGGACCGTTTAATGTTAATTTGATTTTTAGCGAATTTCGCTATACCTCGAGAACTTTTTAAGCAAATTGAAAATTTTTCACAAATAGATGTTTGTAAAATTTTATTATTTTTTTTAATAATAACAATAAAAAAAACTCTTAAATTGCAAGGCATAAAATTGTTTGCATCATATTTAAAGCTTTTAATTTTATGATACAAAATTCGAGCAAGTGTCGTCAAATAGTTCCTGAGAAATCGAATTTTAAAAAAGTTGTATATTTAAAATTCTATTTCTCAGAAACTATTCAACCAATTTTGGTCAAATTTTGTATATAATCAATTGTGTATAATCAAAATTATGTACTTTAAAATGATGCAAAAAATTGTATACCTTATAATTCAACATTTTTGTCTATTATTACTACTAAATAAATAATAAAAATTTATTTTTTGTATGAAACCAATTTTACAATTGTGTGCAAAGAATTTTTTGATTCCCATAAAAACAGTTCCCTAGACATAGCAAAAAATTAACACTAAGAAGTCCAAACTTTGGACCTCTCTCGTGATCAAACTATTGGGACCATCTTTCCCAGATCGTGGCTACCTCTTATATTTTAGGGGGTTAGAAATCCAAATACGTTTTATAATTGTGTGCAAAGAATTTTTTGATTCCCATAAAAACAGTTCCCTAGACATAGCAAAAAATTAACACTAAGAAGTCCAAACTTTGGACCTCTCTCGTGATCAAACTATTGGGACCATCTTTCCCAGATCGTGGCTACCTCTTATATTTTAGGGGGTTAGAAATCCAAATACGTCGAAAAAAAGGCATGTTTATTCAGAGAAAGTACGTTTTTGAAAATTAATTAGCATATTTCAGATCACCCCATTGAATCAATAAGATTGAGTCCTAGAACGTTAAGATCTGATCATTAGATCAAATGGTATTAAGGGCGATCCATTTGCTTTTTTGTGTGCACTGTACTTTATACTTTTACTGTCTTAGGTTCTTAAAACAAAATGTTGCATTTTTATCAATTAGTTTGGCAATTTTTAAATTTGTTTCAAAATATAGCAATGTTTTAGCAAAATTACTACAGGATTCATTAGTTATCAATATTTACATAACGTTTTAAACAACCGTGATACAATATAGTACATTATTTCTCAAGCGATAGGAGTTGTTATATCTTAGTAACATGAAAGAATTGCCTATAATTCAATGCAGGTAACATTTCTGTGATTGAAGAAGAAAGCAAGCGCATAACTGTTTGTATACACCTTAATTGCCCATATTATGATAAGCTAAACCAAATATCACATCTTGAATGATATGGTAACAACCATTCAAAATATCTCAACAATATCAAAATATGAAAACTTACTTTAAAATTTTAAAAGAGAATTGTTCTCATAGGAACATAATGCAGAAACATACATATTTTTGTGACTAATTTGATTTTAATATTTGTGTTCCATCCTTTTTTAAAAAAAAAGATAGGGACATTTCCAGAAACTACACACACATCCCCAAACTTTTACTCGTAATTAACGTATTTAATGTATGTTTTTTAAACTTGGCCTTTTGATATAAGCCTGCAGACTGAAAGTTGCTTGGTTTCAAATCCTGCTCAATCTATTTTTACTAAAAAATAAAAGAGCGTAAACTTTCTTCTCAATTTTTAAATATAGATACCTAATATTTTCTATGCTTGTTTTTTTTTTGTAAAAAAAGATTGAGGCTCATACTAGTGTTAAAACAATTTTTTGTAAAAAAAATACCATGCTATTATTAATTTAAAAAACATCTAGAAAATTATTTTTAATTAAAAAAATCCTTTTAATATTGCCTTTTATTTAATTGACATACCATCTTTGACTCGTTCAGTTCTTTATATTTCCCTTATTAATAATTTAAGTAACCACTATGAAACAATTGAGTTTCCTGCACAATAAAACAAAAAAATAAATAATGCAAATGAAATAATTATCCATATCAAAATAAAATGTACATTTAGTAAAAAAAACTTGAACAGAACAATTAGAAAATTACTAAACTGATTTGACAGAAGGATGGAATATTCCTACAAGAATCTTGATAAAATCGAGCCTGTTTTTGTTTTATTAATTTATACTGGTTTTGTTTAATTTCTTTTGACCACATCACAATTTTTAGTTTTTTTCTTCTCCAAAATAACTTAATATCTGCATAAACACCTAAAGTAGAATAAGTTCAACATTGATATTCTTAAGCTTAAATGTTAATTTACTAAAAAACTTTTCAAAACACATCTTTCCTTTTTTTTTTAGTGCATTGTATATTTGCTATAATTTAGATCATTTAGGTTGGTTATCAAATTTTTCAAACTAAAATACAGTATTTATAGTTAGTTATGCACGTCTACGACACGTTTATTATTAATTAAAATATCAATGCAGAGTTTATCTATTCTGAAATATTGAGGAAAAACTCTTTAAAGATTTTTATTAAGATGTTTTTTATGTTCATCATATTTAAATGCATTGCTGCACATGGTCATCAAGTAATCAAATAATAAACTATTAGGAACGTAAAAGCATTTGAAAAATTTCATCAGATTATTATAGAAAATTAAATGGAATTTTTGAAAATGAAATTATTAAGTTTAAATATCTACAGATAATTTTAGAGTTATAGATTTTAAATATTTCAGGACACTTCAGAAAGTATTTAACCGTTCTTTAAAAAAATAGAATAAAAACAAATCTGCAACTTCCATAGAAATCTACAGCATCTGCTGCAGGATTTCTGTGACCAAGATAGTTAAGAAAAGATAGTAAACATCTTTCTAATTACAGTGAGGATGTTAGTTTTCACTTAACTACAGGCATAGCTGTGAAATCGAATATCAAAAAGCAGAGAGGGTGAATAATGAAATTCAATCAATCAAGAGAATAGTTTTGTGAAAAAAAGTAATTTATTAGATGATGAGACACATGTATGCAGCAATACAAAAAAGTTTTTTTATTGATCCACAACAATTAGAAACATGATCTTCTCTTTTATCTTCTGGCTGTTAAATATGAAAATTTAAATAAATGCTCTATCTAATTACAAAGGTATATGAAGAAAGAAAAGAAAAAATATTTAATTAAGTGATAAATATTAACTTCCTGAATGGTTTGAGTTAGACACCATGCTAGATATTGCAATTTTATTCCACAATTTCATTATTTTTATTTCAATATAATTGTTGAAATTTAAAAATTATCTAAGACAAAAATATCTAAAACAGAACTTAATAAAAAAGAAAAATACATTTAAAATGTAATATAAGAATACTATACAAACAAATACATTAATAATTTCCTATATTATATAATAAATTAAAAAGGTATAGATATGGGATACATTTTAATGATGGGAAATGAATTAAAGGATAGAGTTAACAAAATGAATTTTGAAAAAAAAATAATGCTTTTGATACCTGATGTGTATACGAAATGAACACTGACAACTTAGCCATTCATCATTTGAGAGGAGAAAAGAACAATTTATTTCCAATGTCCTCATTAAACCAATGTCATTTTAAATTAAGGGGTCACAGTACCTTTGCAACAATTTCTTAAAATAAAGGTATAATCATTCATTTTGAGGATGCCTTACATGCTCATTTAAGTTATAATCAATAATTTATCTTCAAAAAGTNAACTTAATTAACAAACTGCAATGCGAGTGAAATATTTTGTCTGCTTTTTATTTCCAGCTGTTTTTTTACTATATCACAAAACTTTTTCAAACATTTTGAAATCACTTGCATCGTGACTACACAAAAATACATTAAAAAATTTCTAAAACTCATATTTTAATTTTTTAAAAAAGGTAGTAAATTAAAACTGATTAAATTAAATCGATCATTATTAAATTCATCAAATTCCAAACCTTTTTGAGGAAATTAAGTACAAGGCTACTAATTACTACTCTTTTTGCTAATTATTTCATAGAATGGTAAAAAATAACAAACTGAAGTTTTCACAATTTTTGGTAATTTTGCCAATATTTAAAAAGTCTTACCACAAGAGAGATGGAAAGTAGCGTTTCATATGAACTTTAGAATAATTTCAGCAGTGTGTAAAATAACTTTAAATCGCATTTACAAAAAAGAATCATTTATTAAAATGTAAACTTAGCTACAGCTAGAAATTTTTTTTTCCAAATTCATAAAAAGTTGGTAGTCCAGTATCTTAAAAACAATACACATCAAGTCAATATCTTGAACAGGATGCATAGCCAAATTTTTCAATAAAATAGCACTTTTAAGCACTTTTCAAGTACTTAAAAAATATTTTTAAAAATTTTAAAGAAAATAGCATAATTATGATATGAGCACACATAAAAAAAAATTTTATTTTTATTGCTGAAAGTTCTCAATATATGTATATTATTAATATAATGCAAAATTATTTTCTAAGACTTTACATGATCATGGAAAAATAAATAGTTTCTGACTAAGAACTATTTTTCCTGATTATGTAAAATGATAAATTGACATGTAAAATGATTGGCACTTTCATATACTACGGACCGACAGTACACCGAAATTGAATTGTAGTGAACGAATCGTGAAAACGTTAAATAGAACAATGGGAAATTACGCCTGTTGAATAATTCATGGTGAAAGTAGACACAATAAAGAAAAAATATCTTATTTTGGAGGAAAAAAAATTAAACACTTTTAAAAGACACCTAATGAAAAAATCACTTTCAAGGGTTTTAAAAAAAAAAAAAAAAAAAGGATTTTNAACTGCTACGCACTTATGCTGAACATGAAAACATCTGGATAAAATATTGATCAGACAATAAATTAAATAGCATTGACTGCAGTATGGCCCTTAAAAAAATTTAATACTGTTTGTTATAGGTAGCAATAAAACTATTTAATTACAAAACATTATTTAACAAACAAGGCATAAAAGCCAGGAATAAGCTAGACTAGTTTCCAGGTAATGTGCTTTTCACGCCTTCTGTTGTCAATTATAGAATGATTCTTCTTTATTCGTTTTTTATGAGCATTATGTAAAATATGATCAGTAATTAACTTTAAATAAATATTTTTGTTTAAAAAATAAATTTTTTGCTAATTAATTCAACTGAATTATTTTCAAATTAAATTAAACTTTTTTATTTATTTTTTTTTAATTAAAAAAAACTAAAAAATATTTTACCTTGGCTTATCGAATTTAAAACAATAGAACCATATAATATAAATGTTACATAAATAGCCTAGCTATTATATGAAATAGAAAAAATAAAAAATTCTTAATGAATTAATCTGTCAAACGATTAAATATAATTTACTTTGTTGCTTCTCAGTATTCTGATGATTTGATTGATCATTTCCATTCCCTCTAAATCTCTTACATCCCTGCAAGGGTTTAGACAATTCATGAATCTGAAGCATCACTTGGGCTGGATAACTTAAAATAAAGGGATAACAATTAATTAAGTCAGTTCATGCATCTGAAACATTGATTGATTGGATTATTGGAAACATTGATTGATTGATTGGATGACATACATTTAAAAGATTAACAATTAAATAATGGGTTAATAAGTAATTAAGAAAAATAAGGATTAGCAATAAAATAAAGAGTTAAAATTAATTAAGACAAGTTCATGGATTTGAAGCATCACTTGGACTGGATGACAATAATTTAAAAGGTTAGCAATAAAATAATGAGTTACAAGCTAATTAAGAAAAACAATAAAGGTTTAACAATTAATTAAGACAATTCATGGATCTGAAACATCACTGAGGCTGGATAACTTTAAATAACAAGTAAAACACCTACTTTTAGATCATGACAGGTAATGCTATTAAACTATTAATAATTAAATCATACAATTTATACAGCCTGGTGGGATAAAAAGAGTAGGTGGGAAAAAATAGGCATTATCTTTCCAAAAGTCCTGAACTTGTAAAATAATTTACTTAAGGTGATTTTTCTTTTTTTAAATATCTCTTTAGGTTTAAAGAAATAAGAAAGTATATGGAAACTTTATTAAGAGCCTGAAAACTGCCTACGACTGTCAGATTCATGTAAGGACTGATACACATACCTGCAGTGTAGCAATTCAATATTTGAATATGCTTGAGCTAAGCACAGTAGCCTTTCTTCAGTAAAGTTATCCTTGTAGAACTCCAGAAACTCCCTTTTCAGCTCCCAATGGGGACCCGTTTCCCACGGTTGGCGATATTCTGCAAACTCCATCAATCCCACCTGAAATGAATGTATAACAATTCATAAAATTTTGAAAAAATTTTTTACCTTATGATTCTAGCAGCTCCTACTTCCAAGAATTAATAATTTTCCAATCATTTACACCCATAAATATACTGGTATTGAGATAACACATATTAATCATTCATATATTCAGTAGGATGCATCAGATGAGCTTCAAGAATAATCACTATAACACAAATCTAAAAATATTTCCCTTTTAGGCGGTCCATAGTGACATTAAAAATTTAGATTTTCCTTACAAAATCTCAAAATTATGTACATCTCATACATTCTATTCATTTCTTATATATTTCATTAAAAATAATTTTATAATATTCTAATGATAATAATTATTAGTATCAATAAATTATTGTCTTGCAGTTTCTTAAACAGCATTTAGATCTATTATATTTAAATAAAATTGTTGCACTTAAATTACAAATGCACAGTGCGGCAAGAAATGGACCACCCTCAATAACTTTTGATCTGATCTTTAAGTTCTATGACTCAACTTAATGGTTCGAGGGGGTAATGTCAAATATGCTAATTACTAGTGAAGACGGTATTTTAAGTTACAAAATCAGACACAAAAATGTACTTTGTCTAAATTTTTCGATGGATTCGGATTTCTGACTTCCAAAATATAGGAGGTAGAATATGGTCCCCATAGTTTGGTCAGGAGAGCAGTTCAAAGCTTAAACGCCTTAATGTTAGTTTTACTTTTTTTGCTATATCTCAAGATTTTAAGCGAATTAAAAAAAATTAAATTTTACATGCAATTGTAAAATTGGTTGATTCAAATGTAATTTCATGCAAAAAAATAACTCTTAATAAATATTTATCATTATTTCATTTAAGAATGATCGAAAAAATTTTTAATTGTAAGGTACACATTTTTTTGCACCATTTTAAAGAATTTAATTTTAAATAGCAAAATTGGTCATTCCTGAGAAATTGAATTTTAAATATGTGAGTTTTTTGAAATTCTATTTCTCAGAAACTATTCGACCAATATTGCTCAAATTTTGTATTTTGCTACATAAAATTACATTCTATAAAATTTTATACTTTACAATTCAAAATTTTTTAGATCATTCTTATATAAAGTAATAAATATTTACTTTAGTTTCTTTCCTTTTTTGCATAGAATTACTTTTGAATAAAGAATTTTCTAATTGTGCATAAAAATTTTTCAATTTGCTTAAAAAGTTTAGAGATATAGCGAAATACACAAAAAGTGAAATTAACATTAAGGTACTAAACGTTGAAGCACTCCTCTGACCAAACTATTTGTACCATAATTCCCAGATTGCGGCTACAGCCCATATTTTGGAAGTCGGAAATCCGAATCCATCGAAAAAAAGGGTATGTTTTTTTTCAGAAAAAGTATGTTTTTTTGTCTAAATTTTGAAGATTAAAATATCGTTTGAACTTATTAATTAGCATATTTGAAGTCAACCTCTTGTGTTATTAAGATGGAGTAAAAGAACGAGGATCTGATCATTAGATTCAGAGAGGTCCTTTTTTTTGGTTCAGGGGGGGGGGGCACTGCACATCTCAGGTAACATTGATAAGTGACTGCAATTTAAGTTTATACATCAATGTTTCCTTTTTGCAGTGATTGAGAAGAGAACTTCATTTTAAAGCGATTTCTAATTTTAATTGAATTTTAAATTTAGCTTATTATGCAGCGTGTTTTCTCTTTGTTTTACTTTGTAAATCTTGGTTTTTATCAGTTTTTTATTTAAACATACATTTTACATCACATTTGAAGGGATTTTTTACATCTAATTATATTTGATACACCATTTTATACTTCGTTTCTTTTACTTAAATTCGTTTATTTTACTTTTAATTTTGAATTGGACACCATGGCTCAACTTGGAATTAACTAGCCAGGGATTGTCAACTAATTTGCAAGCATAAAAGTATATGATGTTTTACACTGAAGGTCTACAAGAAAGCATGATTAATTAGAATTTAAAATAAATTTACAAATAAAGATATTTTATGAAAAGCAAACATCTTAATGATCAGTAAATAAAAGCTTGTGAAAAAAATTATGAAACTTCTGGATGACAATTACAAATAAGGAGTTATACCTCCTATTCTAAGATCTACACTTATTTTAACATTGTAAAATAGATGGCAACTATAGTAGCATCAACATTTTTTATAATGACCCGTGATTGGTAAAAAAGCAAATAAAGAAGGCCAATGCAAAATAAAAAAATTGACAACATTTGACTCATAAATTATATAATATTAAATAATAGAGCACTAAACTAAGCTATTTGGCTAATCAAGCACAATGTAGTGCATCTACATTTGACTATATCCACAACAGTATAAATTTTTAAACCAAAATATATCACTTTTATGACGCTACAAGTCTTCTAACTAATGCTAAGAATAGGTGGCAAAACATTTACAAGACTTTAAAAATATAAATAGAAAACGGATTTATAGAAACATTAAAAAAAATTATTTCTATAGAAACAGCGGGATTGTTGTAATTCAATCCTGTCTGTTTACGTCGCATTAGAGCTGCACAATGGGTTATTGGAACATCCCTGAGGATGATCGGAAGACATGCCATCACAATTTTGATCCTCTTAGAAACAACAGGAAAGTTAATTACAGAAAGTAATTAAACTTGCAAATAAAATATCTCGTTTTAATTTCTGTTAGAGATTCATTTCTTCATAAGCACACATGTATCAAAAAACATAAATTAACCCAAAGATATTGGTATTTCAACACTTTGAAAATGTAGAACCTAGATTAAAAGGAAAAAAATTATACATAGTTGGAAAATGAGAGTAATATTCAGTCACAAACAAATTTGGGACACAAAAGGAATGATGATAGATTTCCGGAGAAACAACTGCAAACACAAAACATATTATAACAACTAATTTATGCTCTTTGGAGTGGACAAAAAATCTGACAAATATATAAGTTAAAGGAAAAGGAACAATAAAAAAATATATATATTTAAAAGATTACTGCAAAGAAAAAGATTACTGCAAAGACACTATTTGATACTTACAGTGTCTTTAAATTTTTATTGTAAAAATAACAAATTTGGTAAAAAATCTTTGCGATTGATGGATTGATGATTGAAAATGAGTGTGATTCAAATAATAAGCTAAACGAGTTCCTGAGCTTAAAAGCTTATTCTCACTGCAAGACTAAGAGTTTCGAATATGTGAATCGCATATGCGATCGCAAAAAAATGTGATTTACGCATGCGTGAGTAATTCACTTTGCGTAGCTTCTAAGCATTTGCGTGCACTAAGAGAGATAGAGAGATTATCAGATCGGATATATTGCATCGGCGATCGGTCCCGCAGTGGACTGATCGTCAAGACACGGTTCCCAGCAGATCACCGAAGTCAAGCATCACTGGCTGCGGTCAGAGTGCGGGTGGGTGACCACTTGAATCAGTCTGCGTAGAAACCGAGGGTGTGTGGTATTGGTCCTCGTTAAACTGTTCTACCGTAAAGTGCTCGACTTCGCTTGCAGGTCGTCGGGCTACCGAAGCGAGGGTGCCATCCCCTCTGTAGAGGATAAAAATTGTGAAGGCATGTCTTCGGATCATCCTCGGGGATTTTTCCCAGACCGTCGCCAATAGCCCATTGTGCAGCTCTAGTACGACGTAAATGAACTACAACAGCATCGGCGATCGAAATGGAAGTCAGAAGTAGTGGCATAGAGAAGTCATGGAGTGTGGAAAGTCATAGGAGAAGGAAGTGCGTTAGTTTCTGCCTTGATTTTAAAATAGATATAAAACTTAAGTTAGGAAACTGGAACTGAAAACTACATTTAACATGGATATAAAGAAAACTTCATGGAAATTTAAAAGAAATATTTCTGAGTAGTAAGTTCGAAAAGTATTAAGAATGGGGAAAATATCATAGTGCTTTCCTATACAATTGAGGATGGGGGGTCAAGACATGGAACCGGTCATCTCCCCAGATGGCGTATTTGAACGTTGTGAACCCGAATTGCATGCAGCTCTGAAATAATTTCCCAAGTTTTCAACATTGTCTTGAAGCTGTCTCCTAGTTTCGTCCACGACAGGCTGTTACGGTTTGGATGAACACTTTCTTCTCATAAGCTACTTATTCTTCAAACTATACTCTATGCATCATGTAAGGATTATATCCACCATCTCTAAACTACATCTGAAATGTTGAAGATGCGAATAAGAGCCTGATTAGTTAAATGTACTTGAGAGGGAAAAACTCGCCAATCTCGAATGCATCTCAAAAATTGTTAAAGTATTTGCGGTGTGAATATGGACAGTTACTTCTGTCTTACTAAACTGCCTGATCAGTGTTTTACATGTTTTATGTTTTGTTGCCTTTTTTCGCTTGCCTTTTTTTTTTCAGATTTCTTTTCTTTGTAACTCGCCTTGCCTTGTAAATAAAATAAAAATGTTATCAACACCACAGGCCTCCTAGGGCACAAGTTTACAAAGCAGTGAATACTTATCAAGTATGTGAATTTAAAGATACAAACGAGAATCTTATTGGTGGTTTTTTGTGAAACAATATCAGGTTCTCTCTTAAATGCACGGATTTTCACGGAAATATGACAATTTAATAAGTGAAATATATTTCCCCGCGAAATACTTACCAATCAGGTTTTTTTTCTCTCCTCAGGCATCAGAAGAGTGGTAGGTACTTCATTAACGTCGCACTAGAGCTGCACAATGCCAACGATCTGGGAAACATACCTGAGATCCGAAGACCTGCCATTGCAATTTTGATCCTCTGCAGAGTGAATGACTCCCCTGTTTTGGTAGCCCGACGACCTGCGTGCGATGTCGAGCACTGTACGGTAGAACAGTTTAACTAGAACCGATACCACGCAGCCTCGGTCCCAATGCAGGCAGATCAAAGTTTTCACCCACCTGAACACTGAGCATTGCCAGTGATGCTTGATTTAGGTGCTCTACTGGGAACCACGTCTTTACTACCAGTCCACTGCTGGTAACCGTATTCGGTAGGAATGCCCCTTCACATTGATTTCGATTCCCTTAGACGCGTGTGCGAATGTTTTGAAACTACATATTAGATAAACTGCTCTGGTATGCGCGAATCATATTTATCTCTATATTATAGGGTCTGTATTATAGGATTATACTGTTCCGTTTCCTTTGCTAGTGGAGAAGATGTCTCATACTTTCGGCATTTTTCCTAAAATAGATACGTACACCGAACATTTTTATTTTCACCATATTAAAGTGCTCAAATCTGGAAATCGAAAAGCATTTTATTAAATTTTATTTTATATTATTATATTCACACATTAGTCTACAATGCTTGGATTTTTTTTTTCGTCCGTAGGTGGCTACGAACTTCACACAGTTTAGAAGCAAAGGAGGCAAGCTATACTGTCACAATTACCGTGGCATTATACTTATTAGCGTGGCATCCAAGATCTTCTACAACATTTTATTCCGCAGACTTCTTCCCTATATTGCGAAAATTATGGGAAAATACAAAAATACCTGTATGGTTTCATGAATGGAAAATATACTGTTGACCAAATACACTCGCTTAGATAAATCCTTGAAAAGACAAATATGGAGTAGATACTTACCATCGCTTTGTAGATTTTAAAGTCGCCTACGACTGTAATAACAAGAATGAGCTTTTCGAGGCAATGCGTGAATTTCGAATCCCACCGAAACCTACAAATCTGGTCAGAATGACTTAGCGAAGTGTTTAATGTCAAATTAAGCTTATGTCTAATACATCAGAATTTTTCTATACTGAGGTAGGTCTCAGACAAGAAGAGTGGACATGAGAAAAAATGGACATGAAAGCTGGAGATGGACATGAAAGCTTTGGGAGTGAATAGATGAAGAAATCTAGCTTCAAGTCGAACTGCCAGGAAAAGATATACTGAGAATGCCTTGGCCTGCACTAGGCTGTAGTGCCGTTAAATAAGAATATGTATCTTCTTACTATCATTTTAAAGAATGCCGAGTAATGGCAATTAAACTTAAAATAACAACATTGTTAGTGACCGTTCTCACTGCATATGTAATCTTTTCGCAGGCAAAAAAAGAAAAAATAATAATAATAATAATCTCCCCGTAAATAAGAAATTGATTGGTGAAATATATTTGTCTCTCAAATTGGGTTCCATTCACGTGCAGTGATAATTATTTCGCAAAAATTTTGTGTAATCAAACGAAATTTAAAGAACTACAAAAGCTAAATACGAAATAAAGATCGGACACAAAAACGCAATTTTTACATACATAAACGTAAGTGTTGAGAGGATAGCCGTAAGTTAAGCGAATTTACCGTTTAGCCAACCGCACCAAAGCCTTAAGTTTTATTCTATAAAGGTCTTTTAACAGCCCACCCAATTTAGGGTTTGCGACTATCAATAAACCCGTTGCTTTGTAAATTTGAACCAAATCCAGAAGACAAGGGAACTCTTGTATCAAGTATTAAGAAGAATATTTGTCTTCGTAGAGGACTTTTGATGGAACTAACCAGCACTTGCGTTACATGAAAAGTAAAACCCCGAAAACCTCCCAAGTTTAGCTTGTGTTCTAATTTATCCTAAATGGCATTGTATGGCTTTCAGATCGGGGTTATGGTGAAATGATCAGTCCAGGTGCAAGCTTGATGTATGAATACAGTAGTTAACCTACTGGAATAGAAATGCGCCTAACCGAAATATTGTCATAAAGTTGGAAGAGCATTATTTAAAATGCCCTCATACATCTCAAAGTTCATATTACTAGCCACAGGAACTAAGAGACTAATCAGACCAAACTCTGTAAAACATGATGATTTAAGTGGATGTCCACGCATTTTTTTTTTACCAGAAAGTGAATTCGCAGCAAAACATCTATCATGTTTTAATGTTTCAAACAATTTCAATTCAATTTGACCACCGCGTCATTTCTTGAGTCTCATTATGTATCATCAAATACATATTATGGCTAAAAGATAAAGTGGAGAGTTAGATTGATTGAATGGGTCGTTTCTTGCAAACGAATATAAATTCGTTTCATATTAACGCGGAACAAATTATTGAATTAATACTAATGACATGTGTTACATACTTAAATAATAAACCCATCTTTTAATTGTTGCATTTGACATTGAAAAATAAATGGTTGGTTGGTTGGTTGGTGTCGTATCCTCTATTGAATCATATTTCATGGTGTGCTTGAATAGTTTTTGTTATTTCTATGGCATTAANTTAGATATATATATATATATATATATATGTATAAGAAGGCACACTATACTGTCACAGTTACCGTATTACCGTGGCATTGTACTTATTAACGTGGCTTTCAAGATCTTTTGCAACATTTTATTCCGCTGATTTCTTCCCTATATTGCGAAAATTATGAGAAAACACGAAAATACCTGTATGGTTTCATGAAGGGAAACATACTGTTGACCAAATCCACTCGCTTAGATAAATCCTCGAAAAGACACATATGGAGTACTTACTATCGCTTTGTAGATTTTAATGCCGCCTATGACTGTAATAACAGGAATGAGCTTTTCGAGGCAATGCCTGAATTTGGAATCCCACCGAAGCCTACAGATCTGGTCAGAAAAACTTAGCGAAGTGTTAAATGTCAAATTAAGCTTATGTCTAATAGATCAGAATTTTTCTATACTGAGATAGGTCTCAGACAAGAAGAGTCTGTATTATGCACCGTATTCATCATCGCTCTCGAAAAAATTGACATGAGAGTTGTGGAAAGCTGGAGATGGACATGAAAGCTTTGTGAGTGAATAGATGGAGAAATCTAGCTACAAGTCGAACTGCCGGGAAAAGGTGTACTGAGAATGCCTTGGCCTGGACTAGGCTATAATGCAGTTAAATAAGAATATATATACCTTCATACTATCATCTTAAAGATTGCCGAGTAATGGCAATTAAACATAACAACAGTGTTAGTGACCGTTCTCACTGTATGTTTGTATGTAATCCTTTCGCATGAAAAAAAAAATTCTCCACGTAAATGAGAAACTGATTGGTGAAATA